TATTCCTCTTAACGTGAATCCTGTAGCAAACAATAGTCTTCTACTTGACTCCGATCTTTTCTAGCATTTGTTTGTTTGTATGTGAGTGTGTGCTTAAGATCTGAATGATTTCATTGAAAAAAATGATTATCCATATTTAATAAAAAAGATACTTCACTACCATAAACATATCAACTATACTTAAAAGATATTGTAAAATGACAGACCCTCTGATAATTTATCATTTTGGTTATAAAACTATACGTGAATCTCAGCATAAAAAAATAGAAGAATGGTAGAGAGTCATATTAGCATATAAATTAACCAAAACCATGAACTAAAATGGGCAAGGTTGTCGTCTAGTAATTCAATGCGGCGTTTAGTAGCTACCAGCCTCCTTTCAAAGTCAGAAGTAGGACAGGAAAGTTAGCAGTTATTTTACCAAGTAACTGATAACTGCATCTTAGATTTGATGTCACTGGTAGTCCATAGAAGTGCAAAGTTAGCAAAGCAAATTTTGGTAACTTTAATCACTTCTCATCCCTATTCATGTGTCTTATTATGTTTTGAAAGTTGACTATTCCTTATATGGACTTCATGTGATCATTCTATTACTTGTTCACACTATAAAATCCATAATGAATGCATCCTAATGAAACGAACATTTTTGGAATTTATCATATAGAGTATTCTGCGATGGTTCTGTTTAATATGTGTCATTCTCATATGAATAATCGACTATCCATCCAGTCATCAGCAATCTTCTAAAAAAAAGATACATTTGAACTTTAAACTGGATCAAATAATTTTTATTAATTGACGAATAGGACTGCTGAAGTCTGTAGTTATCGCCGCACATGTTGAATGTAGAAGTCTGAAATTACCGTAATGTCCAAAGGCGGATGTATCACTTGTTTTCAACATGCGAACGAAATCTCATGTATTGTGTATGGATAGAAAAAGAGGGCAAGAGTCTGAGCAGAAGCGAATAATTTAGCTGGAATTAATCAAGAAAGAGGCAGGAAGTTACTTTTGAAAGTAACGGCAATTCATCACCTGTAGAGTAATGATTCTTCAAAGCAAGGGAAAAGAAAGTTGATTTAGGATTTCTAAGATTTTCAATACATTTCCATTATATTCTTTCCTGAAGACAGAAGTCTCAATTAATTGGTGTTGCCACTCACAATCTTATTGGTCGAGAAATTGGCCAATAAGAAAATTCCTACTGTATTTTTTCGACCAATCAGTCTGTATCGATTTTTCTTCAGTCAATCATATATTTTTATTATCCTCTTACTACATAGAGTTTCACTATAGTGAACGAGAAAAATATCAGGAATTCAGGATTTGGATGTGAGTGAAGAATAGATCTACATCCACACCCATTGATCAGCAGCGACAGTTGAAATTTTACAATCAATTTCCTCAAAGACATTTTCTTGACTTCTTGAAATTTTGAAATTAAGAAAAAGAAAATGATGGTAAAGAGCTGATTTGGCGCATCGAAAATTTTTCAAAATGAAATATCTATTTTTTATGTAGTGCTGGATTTGTGAATCGGTTTACACTTCTGATTGTTATCATTTCGTAAGAAAAGAAAGAGTTTATTAAAGTAGAGATATATGTTAAATGGACGATGAAAATAAATACTCCTAAATAATAAAATATTCGATTAGTTAAATAAGTAGATGGAAAATATCGAAAGAAAAAAAAACGATAAAAGTATTGATGAAAACGCTGAGGATACAAAAAGAACCGTTGTACAAAGTGAGCATATATTCAACCAACAATATAAATAAAATAAACTATTTTTGATTAAACAAAAATACCATCCCAATACTTGTTTTTTTTTGTTAATTTACAAAGTTTTGCTCAGAAAAAATAAATACTCTATGTCCATATTATCAATGGTGCTATACCTAAAAGAAAAAAAAAATGAAATAACGGATAATTCATAGGGTGGTTGACCTGATCAAAACATTATCGGAAATGTCACACGCTCTTTTTTCATGGCAACATAGGAGTGCTTTATTGATCGGTTAGAGAAAAAACGTTTTTTTCCTCCCTCCCCATCTAAGTATGAAAAAAGTCGTGGTATTCATCCGATAATGATCGTTCGAAGTCATTATTGATCATGAAACGAACAATTCTTACCTTCGCGGGATGTCCAACTAGGTAAATAGTTTTCCTCATCAAGAAAATAAAGTGGATATTCGACAATAAAACCTTGAATGTCTTTCAGTTTTTGTTGTGCCTTCAAAACAAAATAAAAGCAGTATTCAAAAAAACCTATCAAATATATATATTCGTATATATACTTCTATCGGATCAGTATCTTTCATCTTAGGCATGTCATTATATGCAGTAACTTGAGCAAATGTTCTAGCACGATCAGTAGGCATTGTAGCAAAAACTTCTTCATAAATGAGTGTATTTTGTTTTGCTACATTTTGAAAATAAGAATAGAACTCATCTGATACTGGATCAGTTATATCAACATTATTTGGATTCTCGAATTGAATACCTAATAACATCCTAGAAAGTAAAATAGTTTTCTATGGAAATAATTGTAATTTAAGATTTGAAACATACTCAAAGATTTTTTTACGCCAACTAGAACAAAATTTTCCTACACGAACTGGTTGACCATTAAATCGACCATCTTCTTCTTCAAGATCATTTATTACAATACAAAATTCACTATCACGGTTACCAACTAATGAACGATCATTTATATTTGCACTACCACATATAACCATACGATCATCAATGATCATTAATTTTGAATGAACATATATGATTTCAGTTACCTAGAACAAGACAAAGAATATTTAAATAGTGTCAATAATAATACATTTTAATTACTAGACGACCCATTAGGATATCATGATTACGCATACCAAAAACACTAATATAGTCCTGTGGTGTAATACCTAAATATCAAAAACACAGTTGAATAGAATATATTTATATATTTCAGTTATAGATCGATTTTCAATATATTTAAAATCCATTCAAGAAAATAAAAAATATTTTTGAAATAAGCAGTTTTTTTTCTTCTTTTTAACATTTTATAAAGCATCACATTGCATTATGTCAACTAAAAGGTGCTCATTATCATCATCCGACTAAGTAGATATTATGAAATATCTTTATGTATATCGGAAACGATTCACACTTCCTATTTATTATGCAGACCAGGCGGCTTTTTGCACGAAAGTTTCAGCACAAGGAATACCTCTATATCAAGTTAGGTTAGATTAGAAAATTTTTCACAATTATAGTGCAACGCACGACAAAAGCTTACCCATAACATTTCTAATCTTCGTCATTATATCAATAAATTACGTTTTTGTCTCTAGAATTTCTTTTCTATATAACGCTAAACATGTGCTAATATAAGCTCTGTTGTTTGATTGAGTTACAAGACAAATTATCGGTTGCGTGAAAATGTTTTTTTTTTTTTTATGCAAAAATAAATTGATATTGTGAAAATTGTTTATACTTTGAAAGTCATTTACGATCATAAGCGTTAGACTTAGACTCGATCTTATCGTACAAATATTTTTTTTTTGGAAATAATTAAAAACGGAAAAAGTTGTTCGAGTAAAGTCTGCGGGATTAAAATGTAAAACACGATGCAGCTAATGTTGATATTCACATAGAAATTATTTTATTCGATGCATTTGGGACAGATTTCTTCATCATCGTTTACAGAATCCTGTGCAGCTGATATTAAAAAGTAGTTCATAAGTTCTCACAGGATCTTAGTGACATAGGATCTATGATAGTCTTGGGAAACTGTCTGTCACGGTTTTTGACGGGTTATTAGTGATTTACCAATGAAATATTGATTATAGAGTAGTTAACTATCGAATTCTTGAATTGATTAGTTATTAAGTTCATCAATGAGTTGATTTCTCTGTAACGGTCTATGGAGAGAGAAGAGTGGGTCCAAGTTTCTATCCTATATAGTTCAACATTCTTTTCAGATCGTGTTTCACAAAACGATGGAAACAGCTTGTAATTAAAACACGTAAAGAAGACCGTAAATTGACGGGTTTCGTCATCAATTGGCTGAGGCTAAGTGTCGATGATATATTTAAAAAATATTTTTTTTATTCTTGGATTCTTTAACTATTATTAGAATTAATTAAGCATCTTTTTTGAACACTGTGTAGGGTGGACTGAACCTCCCCCTCCAGAAATTTTTTGATTCTCATGAAATATAGAATTGTTTCTCATTTTTGACGCTATTCTGAGCAGAGTGAGCGAGATGCGTCGGTTCATCCTATTCATTATTCGATATTTTTCTTCGATCACAGGCGAAAATAAGATTAATTTTTCAAACCAACAGAAGAATTGATGAAATTTTTTAATGAAAAAGATTATTTAGTCACTTCTGACTGTGGGAAGTTTTCAATCTGATCATAGTAGTCTGAAAACACTTTCATAAAAAAGATATGGAAATTCTTTTGTTAGATTCAAATTATTGAGCCTCATATAGATTGTCAAAAATTATTGCTCCATTGTTATGAATCTCGTGCTAGAAAAGTAATTTCAAATTTTCCTTCTGAAAAGTTATTTGCCCAGAAATATAAGGCTCATAAAACCGATTTTTAATGCTACTCTGCTTACCGAAAAAAAATGTAATATAAAAGTGGAGGCTTTCTCTTTAAACCGATTTGTGACAGCAATATTCAAGATTTTGTTGCAGCGAAGTTTTACGGCCATTCGTGTTGTCTCTCTACGTTTTCACTTTATCTAAGCAATAACCAGTTGCAAAACGAGTCATAAATCTGATCATACCATTCTAAATTGGCTTCATATCAGTAAAATCGGACAAAGCTCTTTCGAAAATTTTTCTCTCGGAAAAAGCTTTTAGACCATGTTCTAAACGTCTTTGATACTGTCGTAACGAACAAAGGAGAAGACTCCAGTGTGTCATGAGATCTTGATGGACGGATCTACAAACAAATTTCAGATGGATACGAAGAGTCACGCTTCTAACTGTCTCATTTGAGATCACTGCGTTCCTTCAATAGCATGGAATTCGTTTTGAGTGCCTAGTTTCCAGTTTAGACAGCATGTTGGAAATTATCTTTGACAATTACTAAGATCTGAATCATTAAGTGAAATTGTATTCACGGTAGTCATGAAACATGAAAAGCGCCACTTTTATGATAAAAAATGTGGACTCAGTGGACATTCTCTTTGAAATTTTAAAGTGTTGAAATACTGGCCTCAAGCAGTCTGACCTAGTTCAGATAGATCTGAGTCTTAATTTCCTTTTTTGATAAAAAAAAAACTTTAATATAATTAGCGATACCTTTGTGCACTTTTAAAAACGTCTTGGGTTGAGCTCACCCCAACCTAAAATCCTGGTAACGCCGCTAAATATAACATTTTAGAAATCCTAATCTATTCTACTTTCGTATTTGCTATCAAATGACAACAAAACTATGAGAACAATATTAATTTACCTGCTTTCTCAAGTCGTTTAAATAATGAATTGTCACCCTTAATAATTGAACGCATAATAAAATAGAGTACAGCTTGCACAGCTTTCATGTTATCAAAACCAGGTAAAAGAGGAAGAACAATATAAATACGAAATTTTTCATCATTTCTAATCAACAAAACAAAACGTTTCAAAAGATGTTATATAATAAAAAAAAACTTCATACTTATATGCTCGTTCTATACGCCGAAAAAGGACATCGGCTAATTGGTTTCGAACTACTGAATCTTGAGCAATAGTAATGAAGAATTGATTCTGAATACGACATAATAATCAAAAATAGTATTTTTTTAAAATTACTTTACTTCAATATATATATAATGTTTAGCAGCATCAATCATTTGTATATAAGTATTATGAATCGATGATTCTACTGATTTCGTTTTCACTGACCATGGCCCAACGGAACGAACGCACTAAATGCAACATCCAAGTGAAAAATAATTTTTAAAATAAATATTAATCTAAAACAATAACTTACCTGAGCATTTACCCGAAATGGTTCACTTTCAAGAAAATCACTCCAGTTTTCAACAGCTAAGTCTTCGACATCATCATAAGACTTAGGTAGTAGAAATGGATAAAAATCATTTTTCGGATATTTTTCATACTTAACAAAAAGAAAATTCAAAATTTAAATTTAGAAAGTTTTTTCTCGTTTTGTCTGGTAACTTTCATTCGCAGCGAATAAATTCCTAATCAAACAATTAATTAGTTAATTGCCAAAGTAATTGACTACTATCAGAATTGGCAATCAGATCAGAAAGTTGTCAACAGATGACAAGATTTTGAATGAGTATTTATGTCAGTTCGGGATGCTCATTTCATTTGTAACTTCATCCACATTTCATCTAAAGCATTGTTTACACACTGAAGAAAACGTAGAGATTATAAGCAGGGATGCTCCGAGGTCGTCAGGCTTGAGCGTCGAGTCAAGCAATTTTTTCAAGGATCGGTAAGAAAAACAATGAATAAAACGCGAGAATTTTGTCGAAGAATTAGGGGAGGGAGTGAACCTCGGTTCGGGACACCTGTGACTATAGTACTGCCACTAGACTTTCAGGTAAGAATTCAGACAGAGAAAATCGACGCTAGCACGGATCGTCATAGAAAAAAATTTGCAACATATTCTTTTGTTAAAACAGAAGTGCTAGTCAATGTATCATATTAGAAAACCTACTCTCATGTGTTTTAGTAATGTGATCTATATCAAATTATTTAAACAGATGGGGATGTGAAATGCACTTATATTTTATGTTTGGAGTGTGACTGTTGCTTCATACGTTACTGCAAGTGTCTCGATATGGATTTGAGTATGAGCTAGGCAAACTATAACTGTCTTAAGTACGTCCCTTCCCTTAAAATCTACATTGTCGCCGAAGTTCATATCCTGATCCGAATAATTAATTTTTCAACCTTTTGTCTATATGACGATATATCCGTGATGTTTTTCTCTGCGATAATCTGTCCAATCACCATGAAACCTTCATCTATTGGTATCTGTTTTCGACCAAGTAAAAGATTTAACCAAATTAGTTACCAACTCTGATGGTAATCAATCGTTTGGTAATAAGCAAATTACTTAATTATAATAAAAATTTACATATAAAATGGATTATATATTGGATTCGGTAGTCTTCGGTTATGAGCTCATTTAGCGAAAATGAAGTAAAGTGTTTTTCTTAACTAACTTTATGAATATTCCATCGTTGAATAAAATGTCTTGCAGCATCTCGAGCTGTTTGACCAAATACAACCAATGCTTCATCATGCCACGGCATACGAGGTATTGATTTTCGATCAATACAGTCTACGTTATAATTTACATTAGGACATTTGATATGAATAAGCAAAACATTATGCAAAAAAAGAAGAGTGAATTACCTGTACTGTAGTCTTCAAGGTTTCCAAAATCTTTTTTATACGCATTTGAATAATCTTTTCCAATAAAATATCGATGTTTTCTATCAACTGTCGGTGTTGAAGTAGTAGTTGATTGTTGTTCTTCGAGCATTTCTTCATCGTCAGAATCTTCCTTGCTTTGTAAAATATAATCTAAAAGAAGTGTTGAAGTATATAGAATAGAAATTTGGATACACTCATCAATTCCTTTAACGACAGACCGTGATAGTCAAATTAACTAATTACTTAAGCAATTAGATAATTTACTAATCTCTTATTAATGTTTTGTTAGTAAATCATTAATGATTCATCATAGGCGTTTTCATACATATAATAAGCGATTATGTGTCACGAAAATCTCAGGAGAATATATCAACTGCTTACTTATTGCAGTTCTCGAGGATTAATCAAAGAATGATGAATAAATGAATTCTGGGGTCTATTCAAGAAAACAATATTCGCGTAATTAGAGTAATAACAATTACATAGTGTTTCACATTTTAATTCCGCAGAGATTGCACTAACAGCTTTTTTCTCCTTGTCTAAATAAACCAAACATCTAGATTTTATTTTGAATTACTTTTAAAAAAGTCTTTCTATAATATGTCGAGTCAATTTTTGACTAAGTAGTTCCAAACAATTGAATAGAATTAATAGTTATCAACTGAAATCAGAATTTATTGTTCTTTTTAACCTATACAAAAACAATTTTATTCACAAATATGTTTACTCATCTTAACAATACTTAAATGTTGTTCAAATAGTTTCATTGTCGTAGTTCGATACAAAATTTAATTGTCTTTCTCAACTTATTCTCAGATTTTTTTCCAAGCTGATAGTTAGTTGACATTGAGCAAAATAGGCTTTTCCTTCGGCTATTCATAACTTTTCTCAATCAGATAGTTCGACAGTGTTGACTCTCTAGTATTTCAAAGAACTTTCTTCATACTAGACGATATTTGAAAAAAAAGGGCTTCTTTATTTTGAATTTCGAATACAATAGATTTCGATCATTTGTGACATATGTAAAAAAAAAAAAAAAGAAAGAGAAATCAATGAGGTATTTTGAGTAAGATTTGTTCTATATACATTAATATGTAAGAAGACAAAACTGGAACTACACGAAAACTTTTTTTTGTATAGATACTATTTTTTATCTCAGTCAAAGATTTGGTATCAATAAAGTTATTTTAGGCGCCTCGTTCCCTGCAAAAAAAAACAAGTCAACTGTCATTAGAAAAATCAAAATTAGGATAAATATAATAGAAATGAGACCGATATCTGATATTTTACAATCGATATGATTTTTAATTTGATATCTTGTTTTCTTCTGAAAAATACACTTCTTCTAAATTTATGCTATTATGTGATCTTATATTTCAGAATTCTCGAAGAAGCTTCATCTTAGTTCATTGCTTTTGTTTTGTTTGTGACAGAGTGTCAAACTCCATTGACTAACAGAGTTCGCTCTCTATATTAAGCTTATTTTTGTTATTATTTTACAAAAAAAAGCACTTCTTTAAAATAGATAAATATTTTCTTGAGAATTTTTCGCGATATTCCTTACATCTTGCTTTTTCTCTGTATAAAAATTAAGAATTAAAAAGAAAAATCTCTGCCTGATGGTGTTATAACATGATTAATTTTGAAATATTTGCAGAATATCTCTAACATATCCTGAGAATTTCATACAATTTGAATTAATCTCATCCAAATTCAATTTTTGATAGAGGAAGTGAAGCATTGAAGTCAGAAAAAAAATCAAAAAGATTAGTTCAAAAGAGCACGAAACTCTCATTCTATTTGATCATTTAAAATTGTCTCCATTGACACAAAAGTAAACAAAGATTTATCAGAAATGTTATGAACAGATTTTACACACAATTTATTTATTTGATTATTTACTTCAACTAAATGTTGCAATCCCGAAGTAAATCGTTCTAATCTAATCGTTGAATTGCTTTTCTATCATGTTCAAATACACTTCCGTCATTTGTTACTCGTGTATCTTCAATATTAAAAAACAAGACATTCAAAACTCATATTACTTTCTTCTACATTAATTACAGCTATGATAAAAATAAATAATAGAAGCTTTGAAATGAAAAACTACAGGAATTATTCCAGTTAATTATCCGTTTCAGTAAAGATAGAAAGAAAAAAAATTTCCTATTAAATATGATAGCTGTGAAATGATATTCATTACAAGCATTGAACGAGCAATATTTAATACGAATAGAAATAACATGATTAAGTATGATAATAACAATAGCAACAATACGATTATTCTAGTAAATATAGATTGAATGTTAGTGATATTAACTTTTACTAGAATATCAATGCAGTACTTTACCTTCTATGTTTTTTTTGTAGTTGTTTAGTAATAACTGTATCAAATATGTAGAATATTCATCATCGCCGTTGTCCAGTTTAAGATCATTTTTATTTTCATCTGCTTCTATTTAAATGATGAAAGTTTTGTAAAATAACAATCAAAGATACAAGAACGAATAATACTTATTAAATTTAGATTATGTAAAAACGAAGCTGTTTATTATATTGTTTTACAATTAGATATAAAGTTCTGTTAAACATCATAACAAACGAATGAAATCAATTGAAAGTTATATTATCGAAAATGAATTCATCAATCTTATATGTAATATCATACACTCATTTGTATACATACGAAATAGCAATTTAATGTAGAATAATCTTCCTCTGATGTGTAAATATTATTATGTCCTGATTTCCCTTTCCAATGAGTAAGAAATGATATTTATTCATACCTGTCAACGTTGGTCGCATCCCTTGATAATGAGATAAAAGTAAGAATAGTGAACAAGTTTTCAAAAAAAAAAAACAATGGAATTATTTACAATTTTTAGCCATTGATTGGATATCGTATGCTGCTTCATTTGCATGAGTTGAACCAGGAAGCGCAATTTCTTCATTTATCTCATTTAAAGGATTCAATGCTGCTCTCAGAAAATTAGAACTCTAGAATAGACTCATAAATATTATACGTAAAGTCAAACCAAAAAGTCTTGAGACATCCTTGTATTTTATGTATTTATTGATTTATGAAGCAAAAAGAAGAGATGAAGTTTCTAGTTTTTTCATCAGTAGATAGCTCGCGCTTCATATTATTTTATATATCAAAATCAAGAATTTTGGCTACCATCTTGAATTATCAAACGTTTTTTCATAAAAATAGCCGATTTTTCGATGCATTCAGGAAAGATTTTTCTGTTTTTTATACAAACGCATACACTTCTCCGACATTAAAATTTTTATGCAAAAAGGATCTAAAAATCGACTATTTTTTATGAAAAAATCTTCCATAATTCAAGATAGTAGCCAAAATTCTTGATTTTGATATATAAAATGATATAAAGCACAAACTATCTACTAATGAAAAAACAGAAACTTCATTTCCACATTTTGGCTTGAATCTAAATGATGATTCGTTGTTTTTTTTAATTTCTTTTCCATTTTATTATCTTGTTTCTCATTTTTTAGTTTTGTTACCTTAATCGGCATTTCACCAGCTTGTTCAGCCATTTGTGTAGTAGTTATTTGCGCTGCTTCTACCGTTTCTATGCCACCCGACGCTATGTTTTCTGCAGCTATATCAAGTGACGATTTCAAAGTTGTATCGTTTTCATCGCCCAAATCGACCAGACTGGAAATAAAAAAAACGAAAATTTGGATCTCAATACTTAGTTCAACAAATTCAAGGTTCCTTATTCATGTTAATGCGTTTTAGATTGCATTATAATTAAGCGCTTTCTAAGGCAAAACTTCGATCAGTAACTTTCTCAAACATTTGTGGTCTTAATTATTACTACATAGTTTTAAATGATATGTTATGTGGAAGTGATGATTCATTTAGATTTATTTAGTTTCAACTTCGTACTACAATGACTCATAGAAATATCTCTCGAAAAAAAAATCATCTATAATGAAGAAAATATTCAGATAGTTTTCAATGATTTATTTTTCTTCAAAACCATATATAAAGTTATCGTTGATGATTTGTAGATGGAAGCTCATGAGTTTGTTGTGTAATAATTATTCAATGATCACTTATCCCCTAATCAGAATAAACAGTACAGTGTTGATGTTAGATAAATTAAGATCGTACTATCAGCGGAGTTTGTATAACTCTTCCTAGAGAGAAAAAAAATTATAACTTTTATTTAAATAAAAACATTCTCAATGGCACATCATATACAGGGCTCTGTAGTTACAGTCTGGTGATTACCAACATCACTGACTGAATGTAGCTAGCACACATTAGAACCAGTATCAGTGATGCATTGGAATATAACGATACAGAAAGGGCATAGTGCTGATAGAGTTGGTGTTTGACTTTTGTTGAGAATGGTAATGTCAGTTTAGTCAGTACTATAGTAAATACCGCTGCCAATGTAATCAGTGTCTCAACAGATACTTTGTGATAACTCATTGTTCATTTTTTAGTACCAAAATTGGACATTCCAGGACCAGAGTCCTACAGGATAAGACTTCTCGTGCTCAATACTCTTTCATCTAAAGTAGGATACAGTTGGGCTATCCTGCAGGGTTCTATCCTAGACACATGAAACACTCTCATATATACGTATGCTTTTTCTTCTTGTTAAAAATAGATTCATGATGTACGCAAAAACCAACATGAACTCTAATAGAAGACAGTAACACACCGCATATATTCATCATCCCAGCGGCCATAACATAAATCAATTCCACCGATGAAGGCAATCTTTTGATCAATAACAACCATTTTTTCATGATGAGACCACAAAAGTACTCCATCTCTAGTGTTAAGATCAGGATGTCGAATAACCTTAGAAATTAAAGTAAATGAACTATTTATGTTATTTTTAATAAAAATATTAAACTGACTTTAATAAATCCTTTTTTACTTTTAGAAACTAATGTTCTTTTTGTATATAAACTATTTAAAGATACAACAAAAGGAATTTCTTTATAAATCATCACATAAACACGAACTCCTGCATCCTATAATTTACAAATAAGAATTATAACCAACATGAATAGTAGAACAAATTAAACGCTTACAGCTATTCTTCCTAATATATTATCAAGTCGAAATGTTTCATCGTCTGTTGGTCTTATCAACATGACTTCAGGTGAAAGCCACCAATCAGTAATAAATACTTCTTCTTTAGCTGTCAAAAGTGCTTTAGCGACGGCTTCCATATATGATTTACCATTAATAAACCTATAATAAATACTCTATTTTAATATAAGATCATTTTATTATATTACCAATAAGCTAATTGATTTTCTCGAACAGATGCATATGAATTAAATCGACTTCGTGTTGCACTGGCAAAATCTTTTGCTTGTTCAGTTAAATTTGATAAATGTTGTATCCATTCATCACAATCACGTGCTGTTCGACATTTAACAACGAATGTTTGTTGTAAATTGCTTATTTTAATACCATGATCATCTCCAGCGTTACGAATACCAGTTAAAACTTGAAAATCACGATCGACTAACATAGGAAAACGTACTTCATGTGTATCTGGTCGTATATCAACTATATAACTATCTTTAATAACAAACCATCTAAATGTCAAAAATGAAGAACTTCATTTTATTGAAAATATATTTCATAAGAAAAAAGATCCATACTGAAGACCATGTTGACAATTACATGAATAACAAAAAAATGATGAAAAGAGAATATGCTGACCACAACAACGATCATTAGATTGTTTCAATAGATAATCTTCTTTTCGACTAACTGATAAGCCATCAATGAATGATAAACAACTTACATCAAAAAATTCACACTAAAAACAATCAAAAATAATATAATATGATGTTATGAGAAAATTAACTGCCATTTTTGTTGAATTTTTAGTTGTCAAAAGAATTGTTTTTGCTAATTCTAACATCGTTGAATTGATTTATAACTGAAAACTATTCAATCATTAATTAAGCTTTCCATTAGTATCTAAATTATTAACCATTCATAATTGGTAACCAGGTAAGATGGTTACGAACAAATGGCATGGGTGTAGATGGTGTACGGATGTTCTTGCATTTTTACCCACACCTTATCGTCTCCCTTCACAGACCCAGCAAATATAAACTAAACCTCCGTCATATGCCTTCGAAGTAAAATTTATAATAAATAAAATCTTCATCCAGTATTATCTATTCTCGATCAGGGAACAGATTTAACTGACTTAGTTATCAGCTGAGATGATTATCCATTGAATTGGTTCCCTACTCATATGGTACTCAATCCTTTTTTAGTCTAATAATTTATGTGTATATAATAGATTATATTTAATTCGGTGGTTTTCAGTTATGAATTCATTCAGCGATACTGAAATTAGCGAAAATCATTGTTGGCAAAGACAAATTTTTGCGAACATGCACTCAATCATCACAAAGAAATTTCTCATCAACACTAAATATTTAATTAATCTATATGTTAAAATTAGTAACAATCCTAATGAAAAATGTTTTAAATATAATCGGATTTTGTGCAACAAACTCAAAACTATAATCGAAATATTTTTCACTGGAAATATCAATTTTGAATGTATACCGTTGCTGGATGTGCACGAAATTTCGGATGTTTAAGAACTTTATTGAGATAATCGACAAGAATACGCTATGTGAAAAGAAACAAATTAATAAGAAAAAAAAAAGCAAAGTTCATTGTATAATTTACAGGATATTCTTCAACATTAGAATGATTAACAAATCCCATTTGATCATTTCGTTTTGGTAAAAATGGATATTCATTATTTTCACCTTGAGTTCTAATAAAAATGAAATCACGATAAAAAGAAACATCCGATTCACATTACTTCAGTTAAATAAATACAATAATTTCATAATAAAAAACAAATGTTTTAATCATGAGTTCGTTGTGAAACGAATTTAACCGATTCATTTGGTATTATCGAATGACCATGGTTGTTAGAAAAATATCAATTATTTTTAGATTACAATTCTGCAATCCAATCTGAGGGTCGGTTCAGATGAGTTTTGTTGAGTCAGATTCAAGTGTGGAACGCAATTCGAAAACTATCGGGTTCATTTTTCTTAATCCAATCGATCGCTCTCTATGTTCTTTTCATGACTGATGTAAAAGCAATCTGTAATGAAGCGATCGGTTTATATTATCTTTAAATAGTCTAGAATAGATCAAACAATTCTTAAATAATTTCATAACTTGTTTATCTTCTATACAATAGAACCAAAAGAATTAGAGTAAAGACAGATTATTGTACTTGCATAATTCAAATTAAATGTCAAGTTCTATATAATATTGCTTCAAACAATACTAAGAAATTACAAGTTTTATTCATCTTTGTGCTTTAAATTTCTCAGAAGTTTTTGGCAATAATATCGGAGGGAATGGATATTCGGCTATAGATAAATCACACCCATATCTCGATTATTATTATTATTATTATTATTGGTGCAATTGATATATACATATAGGTAGTGTTTAATGTGCACCTGCATGTATATGTTTAAGAATTTGTATTTCGAACCGACAAAAAATTAATTAAACTTATCTATCTATAATACCTAGTGAGTTGGGAGCGGGATCTATCCTCAACATTGGATCTACTGTGAGGTACCAGACTGCCTTAGAGGATATTATCGAAGGCATCTTGAATCTTTTTCTGTGGAAGAGATTTAAAATACATACGTGTCTAAATCACTTTGTGATTTTTTTCTTTCTTCGTCCACGAAATTCATCAATACTTGATGTAAATTTTGAAAATGTCGGTAACGTTTACAAGTAGTCCATTCATTAGACCCATGCTGAGTTGTTATACAGAATCTTTAAACAATTAAATTCATGATTTTGACAATTTTAAGTGTTGTTTAGTTAAACCTACATATATGGATCAATAAATGCTGCAGAACAATCATCACTACGTTCAGCCTCAATTGATTTAACATAAACTGGAACATTAGGGACAAATGCTTGTCCAGTACGACGATATATATGTTCGATAGTAAATTTGTTACCTAAGTAAAAAAGAACTCAAATAGATAGAAAGAAAAAATATATATACAAACCTCGTTGAAAACGATCATCAACAATTTCTTGAAAATTATCGTCAGGATATGGTAAATATTCCGTATACTTTGGATCTTCATGATCATAATCAATGGGTTGTTGAGTTATCTCAGCTCTGCCATGAACCAGAACAAAAGCAAGACCAAATTGGTTATGGTTTGCCATCTAAAATATTTTTCACAAGTTCAAAGTATATGTGACAATAATAAATATTCGTATACTGATGCAATCAACAAAAGAAAAAAAAACAGATAAAAAATGAGCAAGAAGAACAGAATGCAACATCACCTTTTGTTTTTGGTGAATAGAACGAAATCGAGAGAAAAAAATCAAAGAAATGTGCCTATCAAAACAAGAAACTAAGTAATTATACAGGAGAAAAACGTGCTCTAACGAAATGAAAATGAAAAGGAAAAAATAAATGGGAGATATTTTGGGTCTACTGTGTTTTGTGTTCGTTGAGAATTGTATTGCAGAATAAACATTTGAAAAAAAAAACAGCAAAAGAAGTATAATCGATGCAAGGCTTCTTTTTTTTTCTTTTTCTCCAACATATATACATAAGAATTTTGACAGTGAAAGACCCTTGAACAGTGTCTTGATGACATTAAAGATAACTAGATAGAAAAAAAAAACATTACCATATGAAAATGCTAACATATTGATATGTTGTGTATTTCTTCGGAAAGAAACCAAGGCACTTTAATATATTCATTGAATATATTAAATGGCAAGCTTATAATTAAGAAAAAAATAAAAATGATTGATAGAATATTCCTATTATCGTTTTTTCTTTTACTTTTTCTGCTTATTGGTACACTTCGGAGCGCTTACACAAGGATATAGGAATGTAATTTAGAATGATTACAGAATGCACGAATAAGAGATGCTAGCTGAGTATTGGTTTGGTATGAGTACCGATTGAGTTAGAGCTTCCATGAGTTAATCCTAACCCAAACTAGTGGGTTGTACAGACGATTTGAATAATTCCAACCCTAACTCACTCATAAAAGGTTTAAGCTAAATTTTATTGATTAACCTAAGGGTCATCCTTAGATTAACCCATTAAATAATCTATATTTCTTGGAAATTAATTACGAACGAGTTTTTTCGACGAAGATTTCATCACGATACAACATGAGTGATCAAGCAGCTACTCGGTATTTATCGTTTAGTTGGATGATTAACCTTGACATACGTAAAGCACATTTCATTTTCTTTTTTCTCTCTTTCGTCTATCTCTTTTTTGTTTCTTTCTTTCTTTCCTACCAATTTATGGTTACATATTTTGTCAAATTATGACTTCGATGAAGTAAATCAAGTCTTAGTTTAATGGAGAATTGTTTGTGGAAACCAGCAAGATTTTGTAAAATGCTGAATATTTTATTGTGATAAATTTAGTCGATCATTTCGATCTTCGTTTTCTTTTTACTTTTTATTCTTTAATTTCTGAAGGTCGTTCAGAACATTATTTAAGCTGCAGTGGTACTAGTTTCATAATAGTCTTGTGAATGCTTTTTATCTAATTTATTTCTAATCCTTTCTTGGTTCAATCCAATGAACAGTGTTGCTTTGTGATTGTATGTAATACGAATAATGAACATAATGAAATTATTCTTATCCTCACGTTTTACAGACACGAGGATATATCAGAGAATTTAGTCAATAAAAGTTAGAAAAATTTGCTATTATTTTATTAAAATTCATAGAAACCACTTCAGTTGTGTTAGAGAAATCTATTTTGTTTTTCAAGCAAATTTTGGGAAAGTTTCTATATCTTTTTTTTTCATAATCTATAAATCGATCACTCTTGCATATTATAGACAATGTTAACATAAACGAACTAAAACTTTTTTTTCTACCAACATATAATACAAAGCTGAAAGTCACAATAACCATAGTTATCCGATTGGTAGGGTTAAAGCTGCTCAACCCAATGCTACAACTTATGGATTGACCCAAACACGAGTTTCGTCATGTCTGGTATTGATATAGGCGTAGGTTATAATATTGCATTTTTAACAACATGGGAAAAAAATAATCAAAAAAAAAAGAAAATAGACGTAACAAATGATAAAAAAGGAAAAAAATAGGCATCTAGATGCAGATGAATGCGCTTAATCAACAAAATTATTCTACTTAAGCAGTTAGACCCATCTAAATACATTGTCATAGAAAAGAGATCTTTCGAGATCATGTCTGTGTATTTGCAGCAATCCTTTGTTTTAATATATATTTTCTAGTGTAACGATCGAAGCGATCTTCATTTGTTACAGAGAAAAAATTTTGTTCTGGAACAAAAAAAAAACATCGCGATGCATCAATCTTATCCCGATTCGAAACTGCTGTCTTGACATTTGAAGCCTTTTTGTAAAGAAAAAGTCATGCAAGACGCCGAAAAGTATAGGCAAAATAACATGCTCTTAATACTGACGTTGATCATAATTTTCCCTAGATCAAATAGTGACCGTGCCAGACATCGCTTGAAGGTGTGGGTGTATTCGAATAAGATATTAGCATCCACATCTATACCCACATCTTTTTCTTTCATTGCTCTGTTGCCGAGATATACGACTTACAAAATTGATAATTTTCAAAAATTAAAAAAACAAAAACAGCGAAATTTAAAAAACAAAGTGTTTTTTTCACTTATAGGCAATGGAGATTTCGAGGGCGCGTTGTGTGATCTATATCAACTAAAATTTCTACTATTGAACTAAATGCGTTTCAAAAATTTCCCAATAGCTTGGCAGATAAGAAATAGTAAGACACAAATGAGTCCTGGAACAACTATTGAGCAGAAAGAACAGGTTGATACATATTATGGATATATTATTTCTAAATCTTATTATAGTAGAAGTCAAAACAAATGTTTGTCAATTAAATGTCTTCATTGATGCTATAATTACTTAAAGAAAAATGTATATTTTGAAAAAAAACTGTGTCAAAAATAGCTTTTTATATGCGTAATGTTTCTTTTTTTATTGAAGTCTAATAAAAAAAGGAGTAGATGACACTTTTGTCTAGTTAACACTATCATAACAAAAAGAAAAGAAGTAGTGCTGTAGAAATTGTTTCGTTTTCCCCTCATCTGATCGATCTGTTCATACCGTTGGCATATTGGGGAAGGCTAATACTATATTTCTGTGGTAGTTTTATCACTGGCTCTTCTGAAATCGCTTCAGAGAGTAAAGGGTTAATCATGTTGTTTCCTTTTTTACTCAGATGACTCGACCTTTCGATATATTTTTGAACACCAGATAAGAGATCTTATTCTTCACAATAATAATGAATATGCCGCCTAGGCAACGTTGCAGACTTATATCACACGTGTGTATGTACAAATCTTAGATCTCTTCGAAAATCTGAAGCATTCGACCAATTGTTCCATCCTTCGTGGAAGAGTATCTACCTTTGTCAATTTATTATTTTCCATCAGCAACTTATTTCTCTTCGACTCTTACTGTATTATGTATAAATGTGCGTGATATTCATGATTGTCTTTGCATACTTGACGGTTGCCTGAAACAATTAACCACATTCATCGTTCAAATTAATTATATCAGCGATTCATCATTAATTTCTCGTAATATGGTAAGTTAGTGCCATTTTATTGTTGTTTCAAGGTGAGAAAGAATGTCAATAAGCAAAATTAATTAATTTTCATGTTAATATAGTATGTGATTATTGCAATATTGAATAGAGCATGACACTTTTGATCATTATGAAACTATTCGAAACAGATAGTTGTATTTGTTTTTCTATTGTTCTAAATTGTTTAAAATTTAATTCTTATTTCTTTCTTTCTTACTAGCATTAGCTAATCAAACAATTGGAAAATCAGTTTCTTGATTATTGTGACAAACAATAGAATAAATTAATATCTATGGTATTTTCTCAAGAATTAACTTTAAAGTTTTTCGAAATATTTGAGGAACAAATTGAATGGTTGGGTTTCATTCTAACAATTACATAAAGTAATAAATATGTTTTCGAGTAAATAACGCTAGCAACTTTCTTTTAATTACCAAGTAAAATTTGCAGAGTTGTTTCTTATTGTGAAGTCGTTTTCCACTCACTCTCAACAGTTCTGATATCATGACAAGTTTAAATGAACAAAGTATGTCATACAGAACTCATCAGATGCAAAAATACTTAGGAATACACATAGAATGAAGGACGATATGGACAAAACAAATTACAGCACTTTAGGCCTTATGAATGAAAATATTTATTAATGAAAATGTTTGCGTTAATTGGAATAATGTCTGCACTCTATACATCTGAACTATTGAGTTTAACGATATTAGTGACAATTCAGGTACGTTTCGAAATATTTTCAAGTCTCCTTCAAATCTGAAGTTGATCGTTTTCTTTTTAAGTTAGTCTCCAAACGATTACTATTGTCAATGTGAAGAAAATTTAGAAATGAGGACTGTTATTTTAAACATTATTATGGCATATTATATATCTCATCAAATATAAGAAATATTGAAGAAAGAATTGTAAATGACTAGAGCTTTTTCAATCAGTTGCCTACGTAAACTTATTATCTTAGTTGAAGTTGAATGGTTGGATTTCAAAGATATCTTGTATTTTATAGGATGATCTACATAATTTGAAGTATTTCTCATTAACATGTTATGATTATATTTATAATAATGATGATGTAGCTATGACACATCTGGAAAAGTTAACTTTATATTTTCGTGTTGGTAATCGAAGTGCATTCGTCGATGGTATACTTCTTCACAATGAAATTCTTCTTCATATGCCTCAACTTCATACATTCATTTTTTTATATTAGTACAGAAAATAACATTAATCAATCCGTTCATCGTATATCTAATGATGATATTCAGAAAACATTTACACACATAACATATGCAAAAAACGGCTTGTATGGTAAACTATCTCAACAATAATAAGGTCGTATGTCATGTTTTCTCGCTTCTGTTCACATTTACTCGTCTGAAAGTGATCGCGAATCAGTTTTCAACTATTATTTTTGATTATGTAATTCACTTGCATGTTCTTGATGTAGTTTCATTGAAGCATGAATTTTTCATTCGAATTAATCGAGCTTTTCCATTGCTTAAATTTTTCTCTATGATGAATACTATGTTGTAGTCATGGCATGTTAATGAATGAAAATATGATAAACAATTCAGCATGTTCAATTATTGAATATTCTCATCTTATATCACTTTCCATCATGTATGTGCATCTAGATTATATTGCAATATTTCTGCTCCAAATAAAGTCACATTTGCCTCCTCTAACTGAATGAAAAGTCAATTATGACTAATTGAAAATGGTAACAATGAATTTTACAAGAAATGCGACGCAAAACAATTGTTCGAAAGTGAAGCGATGCATTGTTGAAGAGTCACCTGTGTTTCAAAAAGATGTTTATCGATATATTCCTTCATTGTAAATTGAATTCTATGTTGATGGCTTGAATATTAATGAATGATGTAAACGATGTGGGTGGAGTGTGGGTCTTCTCATCATACCCAAGTTCACACTCACCCATCCACACTTGCACCCTTAAGTCGCGAAAAAAATTTTATTGTATAGTTTGAAAAGCGTTAATGGATAATAAAGTCTAATCTATATAATAGCGACAAAGGATGCGAATCAAACTGAAATAGCTAAGAAATTATCATAGATATCTCTCATCGAGCTTTGAAGTACAGAATCATTGTTTTTCATTAAATAGATTACTTAATTTAAATACTCAAACGTGTAAACCGCGTTTAAATTGCTGGCTGATTTCCAAATGGTTAAAAGCACATATTCTAATGCGTGCCCAGCGACTTAAACAATCAAAAAAAAAAATTGATCACTTGCGTGAATTCTATGTGAGAAAAATGGCATTTCTGATCATGAAACAGTCATATTTTTTAATGATTTTTTCAATTCATTGATTAAAAGTAACATTTTAATCAAAATCATGCAATGAATTTGAGTTTTAATGAAATTTACTGCATGACTTTGTTTTTAATAAAATGCATTGCATGATTTTGATTGAAATGCTACTTTTTTAATCAATGAATTGAAGAAAAACATAAAAACATATGTCTATTTCATTATCAGAAATATCATTTTTTTCATGTTTTTCACATGAAATTTACGAAAGTCATGAATTAAAAAAATTTGTTTTTAAAGTTACTGGATTATAAACGCATAAAAATATTCAACGTCGTAAAAACGCGTCATTATATCTAATGAAAATAAAACCATAAAACTGCATGTTTGCACAAGTTATTATGTATTAGAATTTTAAATGATTAAGAATTCATTTGAAAGTTTAAATACTTTTATAACGCGTTCCTTTTTATCGATTTTGTCTGCCTGAGAATAGTCAAATGAGTTGAGCAACCTCTAAAATACTACACTACTATGGGCAAAACTGTGCGTGTGGCTTCTTTTTCTCTACCTTTGAGATGCTTATTTTTAAACTTCTCACGGTTTGTTTTCACTCAAAATGGAGTGACGTATGTCGACATTCTTCTTTCAATATTCATTAAAACACAGTCATTATCTTCTTCTGTTAATGAACTTTTTGTGATTCAAAGAGTGGAAAGAAATATCTCAAACACCTCAACGCAAGGTAAGCTATTAACATGCATGCAATAATGATCGCTTATAATATTANTAATCGACGTTCAGTTTGATTAGCTAATGTACTTTTTACTGTTGATTGTTGTACAGGATGACTATGACCATTTCCATTTGTCATTGGTGTGCTATTTAAATCATACAAAAAAAGACTTTTTTTCATTTCATAAATGTATTCATGAGGGAGGTTGTTTAAGTAATAAATCACTTTTAAGTCGAGACTATGTGAATTATATAGATTCAAATGAACTATGAATACACTGAAAAGCGTTTACATATTTAGCTTATTGTTGTGAACATACTGTACTTTTACAATAACCATAGTTATGTCTTTAAATAGAAACAGCAATACGATCTGAAACATTCACAAACAAATATATCTCGTTAAGATCTAAATCAATCAATAAACTAAGGACATGAACTCTTTTTTTAGAGTATTCATAGCTCATTTGAATCTATCTATTGTACATAGTCGCCAATGAAAATCAATTTATCAGTTGAAGAACTACCGTTGTTAGAAGTGTACTATGACATCTTTCGAACTATCAACATGAAATAAAATATTGAAGTTTTTTTTTTTTTAAATACTAACCCATTTGGAATTGCTTTTGTCGGTATTGATATATCAACTTTATACATATCACTATAAAATTTTGCCATTTCATGACGTGTTAATGGTGTACCTAATTCATCTTTATTAAATGTAATAAAAGCACATGCACCATCTGGTGAGCAAATACCAAGTGTAATTAAACCATCGTTATCATTTAAATACCATGACATATCAAGTATACCTGATGCAAAAAAATCATTAACTATACACATAGGTTGTCGTGGACTTGTTAACCATAATGATAATGTTCGATCTTTACTTCCAATAGCTAATAAACATCGACGACGACCATTAATTAATAAAATTCTTTGTAAAAAACGTGCACATGTTATTTCTCTACGATGACCAACAAATTCAGCATCAACTGCTGATGCACCACGTATAACACAAGCTGAAACTGGAAATCTTAAAAAAGAAAACAAATTACATAAATAAAATTTGCTTAGATAAAAAAAAGAAACAACTTAATTATTACGTATTATTTTTTGCATGAGCTGTTGTAAACATGGTTCCATCTGGTGACCAATCAAGTCGAAGAAATGATGTTGATTCAGCACAAGCATCAAATGGTTCTTTAATTGTTTGTTCACATTGCCATGTTGTACTTGACCATACTTTAACTGTACCATCTGATGATTGTGATGCTAATAAAAGTCCAGTTGGATCCCAAGCTAAACCTTTAACTAAACCTGTATGACCACGAAGTGTTATTGTAAGTGTAGCTGATGGCCATGAATAAATACATATATGATTATCAATTGAACATGATGCTAAATAACGATCATTTATTGGACACCATGCTATATCCAATATATCAGCAACATGACCTGATGATAAACTTGAACGAAGACGCCATGTTTCAGGAAAATCACCCAATGATGACGATGATTGAACTGATTCTATTAAATATTTTAATAAGTAAAATATTCATTAATCGACTTACGATTTGTTACATTTGGATTTGTTGCTGTTAAATGATAGAGTAATACACTTTGACGACTTGCAACAGCTAGAACATCACTTGTATAAGAAAATCTAACACATAATGGACATTGTGTATCAATACGACAAAGAAGTCTTGATTGTGGTTGATGAGTTTCATCAAGTATTGATGCAAGACGAAATATACGTATACAATCAACAGCATTATATTTACCAGCTAATGCAACACGAATACCTTCGGGATTAATATGAAGTGATGATAAACTTTCTTTTGGTCCATGTTCAATCCATTCTGGTTTTATTAATTTCATTTTTTAAATGAAAGTATATATTTCAAGAAAACAAAAGTCTATCGTCATTTCATAATTATCCAATCATATGTAAACTATTCAAATATTCTATGTTCACTGGATAGAAATTGAGTTATTAAGTGAAGCACTTACTTTTACGATAGATGGCATGAGTTGACAGATATTAAATTATATTCAAGGCAAATATTTAATTGAAATTTTATAAATTATTAGAAATAAAAATTTAATATAGCAATTACAACTTATCGTTTCTCAACAAATTTCAATAAAAAGTATTATTATGTTGAAAAAAAGAAATCATTTAATTTCCTGATTTACAAGAAACATATACGAGTTCGATAGTAAATGACAGTGGCATACATGTCGAAACGTAGATCTAAATACTACGAACAGATCAAATCGTCGGAAATATTATTTGAATAATCGTCAGTTTTGATGATTTGATTATCTTTTTGTATATTGCAATATATTGAAAAAGGATGAAAATCGGAATTTTGTGCTCTTTCAGAATAAATATGCTTAGAGTTGTGCTTACGGAATCTGAACAGTTTACAAAAAAAAATTACTATTTTATAGAGAATTATTTTCTGTATCTTTCAACATACTCGATAAAAATTATGTGGCATGTTTTGAACAAGTTTTATTCGAGTTTTTTTCTTTTTTCCTCTAAAACAAAAGTTTTTTGTTCTGTCAAGATTCACTTTTATAGCTCAACAGTCACAAAGAAAATTCTAAGCATATATCTAGAGAAAGAACAAGATTCTGATTCTCATTTTTTTCCAATGCATTGAAATATGCAGAAAATAGTCAAATATTTTGTTTAGAAACTTTTGTTGAATTTCCTTTCTTGACTTTTCATTACATACATACACAATCTCATTCTCTGAAACCTTCCTAATAAAAGTGATTGATTCAATTACATGGAAAAAAAAAACAAATAAAAATTACTAGATACTTGATTCACTTTCGATTATTATTTTTTTTTCATTATGTACACCAATAGGATTTTTAACAGAATATATATTGACATATCGACAACTAATTTGGATAGGTAGTTTTCTTGAGTAATAGACATTATAATATCTGTTGGTATATAGATAGATTTATTTATTAATAAAGTTTCATACTATATTCGTGATTATGGAAAATAGAAGATCGAAAATTGATTTTCTGATAATCAATACGATATTGAATCTAGTGGTAATACATCCGATAGAAAACAACAATAGTCAGAGATGCAGGCGATATCGTTGTTTAAAACTTATGTATTGGTACTTGTTAAATCAATAGGATTAAAATACATGCAAACAATCATCGTCTTCATGTTCTTTCATTGAAGTTAAATATTAAAATTATGATCTAACTGAGCTTATCACATTGAAAAGTATATCAAGTGTTGTTATTCAACATATAAAAACAAAGATCGAAGAAATTCAATCTTAAAAAAAAATCATATTCAATAAATGATTATTAAACGATACGAAATTTTTGTCAAGGATGATTATCAACTTGTATAGAATACAAGCGTCTTTGCAAACATATGAAGACTAGACTTATTTTCATTGATATGTACAGGGTTGGAAATAATATTATTCCAGGGGGGTACCGCTATAATTTCAAATAGAAGACACAAACAATTTTATATCAAATGAAAGCTCGTCAGAAATGGGGTTTAATAATACTAAATAGTGAGGGTTATAAAAACTTTTTAATGCAAAACTTAAGAAATTTTATACTTTTTGGGGGTGGAAAATTAAGGTACCAGTAATTCAAAAATGAAATAAAATTTGTTTCTTAGATATTTTTATACGGTTTGGTAGAGCTCGTCGAGCTCTACAAAACTGTATATGTTAAAATTTTTTTAAGTCATCTTTTTGAGATAAAAAGTTCAAAAAATGTTTAAAAACTTTTTTTCTTCAAATCGAAGAAACATGCTCGATTTTTCAATAAAAGTAGCTTTTTCATTGTTTTTACTACTTCAGACGTTTCGAGATATACTCATTCGATGCAGCGTGAAAAACTGGGTCTAATGAGTGTATTTCGAGACGTCTGAAGCAGTAAAAACAATGAAAAAGCTACTTTTATTGAAAAATCGAGCATGTTTCTTCGATTTGAAGAAAAAA